AGGTGCCTCCATCTACCTGAGCCAGAACTATCCCCATGTCATTCCTGATTCTGCAGCCCCCACGCACCCCTAACTGCTCACACATGCTCCTGCCATTCAGACCACTCAAGGGGCCTCCCTGCCGCTTATATGGACACCCCAATCCCTTGTGCTTGGCCCAGCAGCCTCCAGTCTATCCTCCGCGAAGCTGCCCATCCTTGTTTTAAATATGCAGAACAGACTGCCTCATCTGCCTGCTCACAGCCCTACCCCGCTGACCTGTTCCCTAACAGACAGAACAGCTTCCTAGCATCGTACACAGACCAGCTGGGTCCTGGCTAGTCCCTCTTCTGCCAACCCACTGGCTTCCTGTTGCCCAAATGGCTGTCCTGCTTCTTGCCTTGGCATATGCTTGGACATGGTGTTCGTGCTGCTTAGAACATCTCCCGGGGACACCTCCCCCTAGCAGCCCCCGAGGATGCCCCTCCAGGGCAACCCCTCAGGACACCCTCCTCATAGGACACTCTCTCCAAGGACACCCCCCAGGACACCCCTTTAAGATACCTCCCCCAGCACAGCCGCCCCAGGACACCTTCCCCATAGGAACCCTCCCCCCCAGACATGCCCCTAGGACAACCCCTCTAGGACAACCTCCCAGCACACTGTCCCCCAACCTGGATGATGGCAATTGCCTCCTATGGTCTTTCCTGCCCCCACTCAGGCCTGTCGAAAACCTGTATCAGACGAGGTCGGGCTCTGCTGGGATCCCTCCGGGACCATGTCGCCATTCGGACGCCAGGCTGGAGTCCTCCCCAGGTGACCCAGTCCTCCATGACCCTGCGCATCACCGCCTTCACCCCTACTACGCAGGCCCCCTCGCCGTCCTGCAAACCCACCAGGCTTCCCCCGATCATCCTCACTGTTCGAGCCTATACCCCCGTCGAGTCTTGCTCAGATAGTCTTCCTCCCCCGACTGTATTGACAACTGCCCCCAGCACCTCCTGGCCTCCTTACCTGCAGGGCACTGATGTATACTTCCTAACTTTGTTTTGGTCTCAGCCCCCACCCCCCTAGCACGCCGGCCCCTCGGGGCAGGGGATGTCATCCTCTGCTTGACCCCCAGCACCCGCAAGAGTGCGGTAACACGGAAGGTGCTCGGGAGGTATCTGGTGAGGTTTGGGCCTTGTCCTGCCTGTCGTGAACGAGGAGATGGACTGACGTGCTTCTTCAGGCCTGATGTTGGTGGAGTCGAGCCCTCGGGGCCGCGGGGCAGACCTAAGCCAGGCGTGTGGCTGCCCACCGGGTATTCTCAGAGATCAGCACACAGCAAATCACAGTGTCTCATGGAGCAGGAAATGCGGGAAAGATTTTGGCACCACTCCAGAGGAATGACAGGAGCGGGCCCTTTCTGACCAAGCCTCACGCCCCGCGAGCGCTGGGAGGGAGCCTGGGCCGAGACAATGCGCCAGGCCCCCAGCCATGGTGGGCAGCAGGTGAAGACAAGCATGTCCCATCAAACACAGGACTCCACAGGGAGGGACACACAGAAGGTGACACGAAAGCCAAAGCCCCGGGACCACCATCTGTGCTGCCTCAGTTTCCAATGCAGAGCTCTTCCTAACCGGCCCCCTCCCCCATTCCTCTCTGTGCTGGGGCCTTAGGAAGGGTCTGTGTCTTCAGAAACCCTGGGCTCTTTCTAGGGGTCACTGAGTCCTCTAGGCGGGGTCCCCAGCCAGCTGGGCCTTTGTCTTATGGGGAGGGGGGCCTACGTCACCTCGTGTTCTTCTGGGGATGGTGAGTCTCATCCTGTAAAGCTCAAGACCCTCTTCGCATAACAAAAACTCGACATCACCCCTTCCATGTGCAGAAATCGGGCGCGTTGGTAACCGCACATTACGCACAGAGTCCCAATAAAGCCCGAGGTGTAGGACAAAGGAGAGTCTCAGTCATCTATAATACCACGTGTATTTCAGTGAGACCCTCTTCGGAGTAGGCGGCAGCGGGCGAGAAAGAAGGGTGTCACAGGGTGGCTTGTCGCTGCTCAGTCACCTGCTCCTCCTCTGGGGAACGGGGGCCGGGCCACACTCACCTCCGCCTCTCCACTGCCTAGCACCGTGCCCAGCACATAGTAGGTGCTCAGCCAATGTCTGGTGGAGAGGTGGATGAATGACCGGATGATGAGTTCAGCCCCGGGTGAGATGTGCCGATGGGGTCATGGATGGGATGAGCCGTGCCCCCGCCCCGTCAGCCCTCGGAGGCCTCGGGCGGGCGGTGGCGGGATGCGTGGGTGCTCGCTCCCGTGGGCGCCTCTGCCTCTCTCAGCTCCCTGCGTGCTTCTCCGGGGCAGGGGCTGCTCTTGTCTTCTTGGTGTCCCCCTTGGCGCCCCACACAGCGTCTGGCACAGAGTGGGTGCTCAGTAAATACCCGTTGAATTTAATGCATCTCAATTCAACAAACATTTATTGAGCGTCCACTGTGTTGAGTGTCACAATCCCACCTTCCTTGGGCGCGCTACAGATGGATGTCCCGGGGATGCAGGTGGGGTGTGCCTTGCTGCGTGCAAATGCCCTGCTCGGTGAAAGTTGTTTGCAAATGGGACTGGTGTCTGTGGGCTCACTTCGGGAGCTACTCGGGGAGAGTGGAAGGAGCCCCGAGGAAAGGGGGTACGTGACCCTCCGTTTAGGAGCGCTGCCCACCCACCCCAATGTCTCAACAGGCTAGCACGCAGCAAGGCACGCGTGATGGGAGGCATGACCAGTAGCCTGGGTCCCAGATGCTGTGCCCATGCATGTCGGGAAACCAGGTGAGGTCTTCAGGACAGAGGTAAAGGCACGGTTGCAGCAGGTGCGCGGTGGGTTTCCCGCTCAGCAGAGCCGACAGTGGACCACCGTAGAAAGCGGAGGAATGACAGAACTGTCATAATCGTCCTGAGCAAGCGTTCGTGAAGAGGAAGGCCACACGTATGTGCACACACACACACGCCTTGTTTCTACTGTGGAGGAATCTCCCCCATTAGAGCCTGGATTCTGGCGCCGGCGAGGCGCTTCCTGCCGGCCAGGTACGCCCTGGGTGACAAGCACCGGGACCCCCACCTGTGGCTGCCCGTGGCCCCAGTGATGGGGAGACAACAGTGAGGACGGGGGGACGGAGCCAAAACGAGACCTTGCAGGTGTGTGACTGGCCAGTCAAAATAGCACGCACAGCCTGGGGGCCTCGCGGGGGATCTCCCGCCTATGGGGCTCCCGGGATGAGCCGGGGGCCCCTTGGCCCAGCACGTGCGGGCGAGGGGCCAGTGCCCGGGGGTGAAGGCGGCACACACCGGTGACAGGGCAGGTCAACGGCACGGGGGGGGGACCGTGGCCAGGCTTCTCCCCACGTGGTAACCCCCCCACAGGTGGGCTGCGGACATAAGTGGGGATCCCGGGGTCAGCCAGAGGTGTGTCCTAGCACCACCCAGCAAGGGGAGGATGGGAAGCCATAAAAGGCCACCCCCTGAGGTCCCCAGACACTCACTGCCTGAGAGCTCCTGGGCCTCATGGGTATCACGACGACACCCCAGGCGTGCGAGGGCTGTGGGGGTGCTGGAGGGCTGGCGCAACAGGATCCCACCACCTTCCAAACCAACCGCCATCAGGACAAAGGGAACACGGAGCAGCAAGGCCCATGGTCAGGTCTTGCAGCACCCGGGGCAGTGGGTGCCTGGGAGCAGACAAGGGCCGGGGGACGGACCGCAGCTGCTGGGCTGGTCCGCGCCGTGACCTGCCGGCGGGGGGGACGGGCAGCCCCCCGCGTCCGCCCCACACCTGCCCCGGGAGGAGCACACCACCACCTTGGACGAGTCACTCTGGGGGACTGCTCTGACGTGGACTTCCTGTGGTGGCATCCACCCATGTGCCGGCCCGGAGAGCCCCATGTTTAGAGCGCCACACCCCCGGCGGGGCCAGATGCACGGGGAGGGGTGGCTCACGATGTCTGCTCGCAAAGATCATACACAAAACAATGCGCCTTTGCTTTGCTTCGAGCTCTTCTTTAACAAACGACAATGCCCGGGCCGCCCCTTCCATGTGTAAGACAGGTTACAGTTCAGAGTCATGAGCATGAGGATGACAATGAGAGTCTGTTTGCTGAGCACCTACTATGGGCCAGGCAGAACGCCGGCTGTGGACGTGTGTCACCTCCTCTGGTCTCTACTGGCCTGGCCAGGCGGACAGGCGGAACGGAGGCCCAGCGGTGCGGTCGCGGCCCAGGGTCCCACGTACCATCAGGCGTGAGCCCGGATTTGAGCTCGGGCCGGGCTCATGGCCACACCAGCCTCTGTGCTCTGCCTCTTCACACCCCTGTCCACCTCTGCGTCCCAGCTCAGCCCCACACGTGCCCACAGGAAACCACCCGCTGGGACCCAGGCACGGCGTCCAGGTCTCCTGCGGGCATCACACCCTAGCCGGCCGTGCTTCTCACCCACAATGTACAATTCTAGAGCTCTATGTGGAGTGTTGCCCTGCATCTGAAAATCCCCCCTAATTCAGCCCTCCTGACCCCCAGAGTCAGGCAGCGGTCACTTGTCCCCGTACTCCCTGCGGACAGGATGTCCCCACTCCCCGGTGCCTTGCTCAGGCCGAGCGCCGCGTGCCTGTACCCGGTCATCGACTCCCAGTCTGGACTCACCCTCCTGGACCATGCTTATGGCTGCTCTGGAGGGAAATGGGCCCCCCGCTTCCCGGCCTGATGGCCCAGGAGATGTTCTTTGCAATAGAACCCAGGAGACCAGTTTGGCTTCCTGGGCTGTCTCCAGCCCTGGAGCGTTCTAGGAGACATGCCGTGTGCCCACGGGCCACACGCGAGCTCACAGTGTCCAGGGAAACTCACACGGAAAGGGGGTCCGCTCTCCTACCTGGTTTGCTCCTTAGATTTCTTAACGAGCAAGGCTCAGTTCTGGGGGATGGGTTCCAGATTGTGGGGCCCCCTTGCTGCGAGGCATCTCATGCCACAGGTACAGCTCCTTGCTCAAAAGAACCACTCACGTGAGTAAAAGTTGTCCCCTTGCATTGTTTGGAGAGGGTCTCTATCGGTCCCGCTACTGTGGGACAAAGACTGGCTGTCTAGGTCTGGAGAGTTAGTCCTAGTGTCTGCATCCCCCTTGAGAAGCAGCCAGCTGGTCTTCTGCTGAGGGAGGAAAAAAGCCACGTGAATGCGGAGGCCATCTGCATGGGGCTGCCCCGTGCTACAGAGGAGGAAATGGGGTCAGGGAGGTGAGGGGCCCAAACGGCTTCTCCTGGGGGTGCACGGGTGAGCCAGGCGTGGGCTCTCTCCACGCACAGCTCCCTCCCTTAAATACAAGCCAGGGGCCCTCGGCCTCCCTGGAGCCAGGGCGGGAAACTCTGGGGGCCAAACCCCCCCAGAGAGGCGCGCCCAGGCCTCCACACATTCCCTGTGGCTGCTTTTGTCACCGAGTTGCACGGCCCCCAGAGCCTCACTCTACCCTCGGACCCTTCCCCGGGACCCCCTGCCCAGCCTGTTCTCGAGCCAGCACCCCAGATGCCTCCAGAATGCCCTTGGACTAAGTTTCCTTTCTTTGCTTAGACATGGCCTCGGTGACAGAGCCGTAACCGGGTTACAGGAGTGCGGCAGGAGGACTGCGGCAGGAGGCGTGCTAGTCTGGGTGGGAGGCGGCGGCGGACGGGGCCACCTCTGAAGTCTGGTCCCTGCCGCGTGGGGCCTCGTGGGGCCCCTCTGGAGCAGAATGCGGGAGAGGGAGCCTGAGCTTTTGGCTGGGGAACCCCCCCTGAGCCAGACTGCCTCTGGGCAAGGTTGCTCCCGCCCAGACCTGCCCCCGCATTACCTTCCTGTTATCCTGCTCGAAAATTCCGTCCTCTCCATCGGGTCGCCTGACGGCTGGAAGGGAAGGGGCCGCTTGTCAAGGAGATACACCATCTCGTCTGGGTGTCCCTGCCACGGTTCCCACTTCCCATTGTGCTCAGAAACAGAAAGGAATCAAGCCAAGGTCCACGGCACGAGAGCCTTTGCAGGGCCGGGGAGCAGGACGCGCCGGAGAAGCCTCCCACGGGAGCCCCGCGGGCGGCGGCCATGCACCCTCCCTCCTGACGGTTCTTCAAACCAAGAGCAGGGGTGCAAAGTGACGCGGTCTTAGAACTCCAGCCAACCCCACGCCGCCGAGATCGCGCCACGTGTTTGGATGCAGCCACTTGGCATTTTGAAGCGCGCACTCTCTACTTTCCCAGTTTAACCCTAAAGGAACAGGTGGGTTTGGTCCAGCAGGGCCTGCTGTGTCCAACCTGGCCGGGTGCTTCACCGGCACTCCTGCGGATCCCCACGCCACCCCATTCACAGATCGGGAGACTGAGGCTCAGAGACGATGACATGCACAGGGCATGGCAGAGGCTGATATGTGAACCCAGGTGCTCTGTCTCCAAAGGCCCCCCCCGTTTGTCCCCCTCACTGCCTGCCACCCACGAAACGCAGAACGGTCAGTGAACCCTGCCACAGGAAAAGTCCGCGAAGAGAGGTAAAGGAGGTACGACATACAGCCAGAGGTGACCTTAGTGGACTGGAAGGAGCGAAAGCTCACTTTGCCACAGTGTGTCCACCAAGAACGCTATCTGGGGCTGAGAAGTCAGGTGTCTATATTCTCCACTGGCCTTTTTATTTTTGGTGGTGGGGGTGGGGTCATCTCCAAGCGAGTATGATCAAGTACATCACGCAAGGGCATATGACAGTGCTCAGCACCCAACTGAGGACTTCCTGTACTAAGCCACGGACCCCATGCATGGAACAATGAAAGGAAAACCCCAGGCTCTTTTCCCACCCGCCACGGAGACCAAGGCCACAGTAAGGACACGCCAAGGGTGGGCTCCTTACCTGCAGCCTGCGGAGGGCTTGGACCTTTGAGCCTTTTGGAGCACCCTGCCTTGTGCACCACCAAGGACAAGACTGACATCAGGCCCGAGAGCTTGGAAATTGGGGATTGGGCTACAGGACCTTGACAAGATAAGGTCATAGTTGAAGAGCGTTCTGGACACACGGACATTTTGTTACTCCCGATGGCTGTTTCTCCTTCTTCCAGGAGAGACAGTATTTTCCAGCGTGGAAATAAAAACCCTGCTCTCTCCACGGGTGGAGGCAAATTTACAGCGAGCCTACGCGAGGGGCGCCATGGTGGACAGAGGCAGGGGCAGGAGGGACGCAAGCCCAGCGGCCCGGGCTCGCCTGTTGTCCGGACAATGGTGGCCGCAGGGCAGCAGAGCCCTGAGGGTCTGGCCACACATCCACCATGACTCTTGGCGGCCGCCCAGCAAGCTCTGGGGATGGTCAGGCCAGCGGGGACTTGGAGCTCCAGAGCATAGCCACTGTCCCACCCAGAGAAGCCTCCAGGGCTGGGTCCACCAGTGAAAGTCAGTGAGCGCACCCCCACCCCCAATGAGCCCTCGGTGGCCCCCAAATGGACCACTACAGCGGGGTAATTTGCAAGTACAAAGACAACAAAGGGCTCTTCAGGATATGAAATCCCAGCCCTTGGAGTTCAGGCCACGGGGCCCAAAGGCCACCCTGGGTTTGAGGACTGCACATAGCTGTGGGTGACCGGGTGGGTCAGATGCGTCTGGCTGTGGAGCCACCTCGGGGCTCAAGAAACGGCCCCACCACCTGATGAGGAAGCTCTCCCACCAGGATTAAGCAAGTTTCCTCTGCAAAGGCTCAACCAGGAGCGTACGACTCAGCCACACTCAGTCACCAAGGGCTTTCCAAAGGCCAAACGTGCCAGCCCACAACACATGTGACGGGTGCCCCGACGTGGGAGCAGGGGTAGGAAAATACAGGTGTCCGGCACTTTGTATTATATGCCTGCTTCCTGAACAGCTCTGAGCCTCAGTTTCCTGATCTGTAAAATGGGCAGATGATGCCCACCCCCGAGTTGCGAGGATCCCATGAGGTAATGCATGTAGATGCTGTAACACACCCAGGAGCCCAGGTCTGAAAAATGAGGAATGAACAAGAGAACAGCCTTGAGGCGAGCGGACAGCCTTGTGTTTCAGAGAGTCAGGAGAAGACAGACCGATTAAGGACGACCCACTGTCTGTCCCAGCAGACAAGGCAGTGCCCTCTAAACCGGGAATGTATCTGCCATAAGGAGCCCTCCGGGGAGAGCCCCAGGGGACTCTGTTGGAGGCATCCCCAGGAGACTGGCTGGCCTCTGATCCCCCAGGGGACTCTATTGGAGGCATCCCCAGGAGACTGGCTGGCCTCTGATGTTCTTTCTGGACCCACAGCCCGCCTGCCTTCCCTTTCCTCCCGTCCCAAGACAGGACCCCAAACCAAAATGAGACTTGGCCCCACCACGGAGGAATCCCAGGGAGACACGTGAGAAGGGGTTGCCTCCTGTCTTACACCAGGGACCAGACGAATAGCATGCATGCCCCACGGGGCCCCGTCTGCTGACTGGTCTGGGGGGCAGGATGGAGCGAGCACCCTGCTGCTAGCAGACGCTGCAGGTGTGGGGCTGAGCTGCCATGTCCTGTGTCCAGGGCCCGGGCATCCACTCCCATGGCTGTCGCAGAGCTGCCCTTTGCTTACAGATGACACAGCTAGCCCTGTCCCTGCGTCTGGACGCTCAGCTTCCTGGGAGGTGTGGGGACACGTGTTCTGTTCTTCCCTGGAATTCATTTTGAGCAGTCTAAAACCTAGCAGAGTGTCGCTCCATTGAGGGGACCTACCACTGGAATGACCCTGCTCCACGCCCCACGTCACCGGGGCCTCCCCCAACTCCCGCAAAGCCCAATGGCGAGGCAGCCTTGACCCTACTCTCAGAGTGGAGACGGGGAGCGACCGTGGCAGGAACCATGCCTGCCTCACCAAAATCAGGGGCACCCCCCGCTGCGAGCGCCTGCAGACGGCCTGGGAGCACCGTGGCACCCCGGTCCCATCCGCACTCCATGTCCTGCCGCTCCCCGTGTCCTGCCGCTCCCTGCCTGTCCTACATCGGTCCCCCGCTATGCAGGAAAGGGCTCTTCCGCTCCTGTCCTGTCCTGCCCCCCGCTGTTTTCAATTTTCCACTCACTGCCTTTTGCTTCCTTTCTATTTTTTCTTACTATTTTTTTGTAAAAGCCATATAATCGTAACCAAGTAGAGCTGAAACTAATAGAGTACAAAACATACTGTGGGGCACTAAATGCTGTACAGTGAGAACGGAAGGGTCAGGGGCCAGAGGTCAGGGGTCAGGCAGATGAGCACCAGCTGGACCCCAGAGCGGCCACTTCTCAGCCCCAGCCTCAGGCTCCTCGTCCACAGGGGTGCCAACCTCATTGGGGGCCCACAGGGGATGCGCAGGCAGCTGTCGAGCGCCCCCCAGAATGGGGGTACCCTCACCGCAGCTGCTCGGGCACGGGCCCCCCTCGTCCACAACACCAGCGCCCCACTGCAGGGCCGGCGGGCTCACCACTGGAGCTCGCTTCCCCAAACAGGAACGGGATGCGAGCACCAGAAAAGAGTGATGCTGTGTATGAGTTGGAGATAGGGCATCGAAAAGTAAATGCATTAATTAAAAACTATGCTTTTTAAACCGGTTAAGCATACTGTCTTAAACTAGCTAAATGGTCCAGTAATGCAACATCATCACCCAGAGTGTCTCGAGACAGGTGGAGGTCAACGTAGTGGTTTCTCAAGTCTCTCCCCCGAGAGAGGACTGGCTGGTGACTTTGCTGAGTGTGTGGGGGCGTGCACAGGCACATGCATGCTCACACACGCACTCATGCTCACACATGCTCACACACTTACACATGCATGCTCTCACACGCTCACACATGCATTATCACACACACGAGTTCACACATGTGTGCCCTCATGCACACACACATGTGCTCTCACGCCCGCTCACACACTCACACCTGCACACACTCACACATACACGATCTCCACACCTCTCACACACGCATGCTCTCACATGCTCACACACTCATACATGCATGCTCTCACACGCTCACACACTCACATATGCATGCTCTCACACGCTCACATATGCATGCTCACACACATGCATGCTCTCACGCTCACGCATGCATTATCACACACACATGAGCTCACACATGTGTGCTCTCACACACACACATGTGTGCTCTCACACCCGCTCACACACTCACACCTGCACACACTCGCACATACACAATCTCACACACACCTGCTCTCACACATGCATGCTCTCACATGCTCACACACTCACATATGCATGCTCTCACACACTCACACACTCACATATGCATGCTCTCACACACTCACAC